AAGGCGCTCCTCTCATTCCCTACTGACGAGGTAAAGACTGTGTTTGAAGTTGTTAGTACTTTTATCATGTAGTCTAAGAGATTTGTGAGTAGAGTTCAAGCTGCAATACGTTTTATTAAATATTTCATGCATTTTATTAAATATTTCATTCTTATCATATTTTTTAATTAACTATCTCTTCCGTTTTCAACTTCCCTTGTCAAATCTTCCCTTGCCAAAATTTCCATAGCTCCCATTGTAGCCGTAACCATTATAGTTAACTCCTCGCTAATAAATAATTTTATTAGCTTACAATAAATCATTTCAAAAAAAAAATTTGTAAAGGAAAATGATGTTGTGGGTATGGAGAATCCAATGATGATTGAATGGGAATATTTGAATTGACTTCTCTCAAAAAGTCAGCTTACCATAACGTCAATTGAGCTATTTATTCTATAAGTATGTTTTACTTGAATATAATTAACTTATCAAGTTTAGTCAACTAACATGATTACATTATCACAGGTCCCTCCATCGCTTGTGTATTACATCAGGAAAAGGTGATAATTTCACATTTCTTTCCCCTCATCACATGACAAAGAAAGGGAATACTCCAAAAATAAGATCCTGGGACCTCCAGTGAGAATATGTGAAGTCAAAAAGGATGTTTTTATGGCTCCATATGTGTACTTGTAATAACTCACAATTGATAGTTTCTAGTTAAATATGGATTTCTTCTAATAACTCATCCTATTTTATAGGGACCACTGACAATTGACTGTTTTTTCATTAAAGAGTAATATAGTCCTCTTCTTATGCTTCTTCTATTACAAATCAAACAAGAACATAAAGAGGACGATAGACTCGTAAGTGTACTTATACAAAAACTATTAATTTTTATTGATATATTAGTTACAAATTTCGTGATGTTAATCATAAAGTAATAAAAACATATCAAACAATGGTTCTGAAAAAGTATGTACATGAACTAAAGGATCCTACGTGAATCGAGCCAAATGTAAGTGAAACTAACACTTTATGAACTCATTCAATTATCAATATTTATTGCTGATTACTTATATATATATATATATATATATGTTTTTATACAGAGTCGTAAGCAACCATAGAAGACTAGTTTGTTCGATGTATATGTGATGATGCATATGCTCAACATGATCACATTGGAAATGATTGAATTTACAAATGAGGTAACTATATTTTTGAAAAGCTAATTTTATTGTTATTTGAATTAGTTAATTAATGTTTTAATTGTAATTTTATATTTTAATTTAAATGTTTGACATTCCAAATCCATTCTTCGAGAAAGAGGTTGACGACATCCTCACACATTGAGCATAATATTTTGTGGATGGTATGTGAGGTTTAGATAGTTTTTTCGAAAATTGTATAGACCATTTGAGTTTTGTGTAATTTCTATAAAATTTTGTATTGAAATTTGAATTATTTATATATACTGGAACTGCCTCGCTAGCGATAAATTGTATAGAACATTTTTATTTGTAGGAATTGGGGAAATAAGGAAAAACAAAATTATTTTTTTAAATTACTTTTAATCGTGGTTAATACTATAATCATTGAACTTTTAACAACGATTAACATTATAAGCGCTGTTAAAAGGGGTTATACTTTGAACTATTATTAAAAGTTCCCCTTTTTTAAAAATTAAGTCAACAGGCTACTTTCAATAGCGAACTTATAACCGCTGTTAAAAGTTTATTTTTAATAATGGTTGTCCAACTGATGTTAAAAGTCATCTCCAGAAACAACAATAGTTATGTAACGACTATTAAAAATATTTTTTATCCATTGTTAAAAGCCTATTCTGTAATAGTGCGTCAACAAGTCAATTTTGTGAAAAGAGATAATGAAATTATATAAAAATACAATAGTGAAAAATTTTTATAACCTACAAGGAAAAAATTTATTAAGTCAAAGTTAGAAACAAAGATACGAGCCTCTTTTCTTTCTTCATGTTTTTTCGTTTTATTTTTCTTTCACAAAATGGATCTAATGACTATGTTACACTTTCGAAAATTATTTTTTTTTGCCAGACTTTCGAAAATTATTTATGCACTGTATTTTTCATTACATTCTTCTTTGTTCTTTATGCCAAACTGAAAATTTAATAATAACGCTCCCTGGTAGAAAAATCTCATTTATAGACTAATTTATGAAGGGAAAAAAAAATTATACGTTCAAAAGTGGCAGGATGGGAGGGCGTGGTCCATTTGTAAATTAAATGACAAGGACCTGGTCAAAGAGTGAACAAATCTTATTTTGTTAAAAAATTTATTGGTAAAAATAATTATATATATAGGAATATAGTACAAATAATCAAGTTTGAAGACAATCACAATACAATCACGTTTTACCAGCACGAAAAAAGTAATCATACAAATTTGCTAAAATTTGATGTTTAAAATATCTAGATGGTCGGGTTGGCCTCCACAGCGGATAGCACCTTAAAATATTTGCATTGTCTGGGTTGCTTAAATAGGTCCAAAATTTTTGAGCCAAACCGAACTTGGATAACATTTTTATTTTTTTAAAAAATTAAAATATATTAATTATTAATTAATCATTTATAAGTTAGTTCATTTTATATTGAGAGACCATATTCTTTTTAAAAAGATTAAGTCTATTACAATTTTTTAAGTATTCTAAAAATAAATATTTTTATAATAATAAAGATACTTAATTTTGAAGTAAAATTTTAAATTTGTTTTAAATAGAATAATGCAATTTTTAGTCTATCAAATTTGCCTTAGTTATCATTTTGGTCCCTTAAGCTTAATTTTTATAAATTTGGTCTTTCAAATTTGTTTCGATTGTTAATTTAGTCCTTATTATTTAAAAAAGGGGTAACACTATTAAAACTTACTGACATGGATAACAAAATATTGATAGTAACTATATATATTAATGAAAAAAATATAATTATCTGGGTTGAAAAATCAAACTCTAGAATTTTAAAGAACAAGAGAATAAAACACATTAATATACTTTACATCTATTAGATTATTCTAAGAATCAATTTCTGTTTTAAAACTTAAAGGATTTATGATAATTTAAGAAAATATAATGGACCAATTTGTAAAAATTAAACTTTTTGAAGGACCAAATTGATAAATGAACCAAATTTAAAGGATTAAAAGTTTCATTATTTCTTTTAAATTCCTAACTGTATATATACATATATATGTTTAAAGCTTATCCATGCTCACGAGGAATGAACACCTCGCAACATGTTACTTTGTAAAAGGTATATATACTTCATAAGAAATTGCGTACAATTAACAAACATGAAAACTGGTCATGATTTGTATTTGCCTTGCAAGCAAAAACCCACACTTTAAGGGAACTAAAATAGCTTTATATGCATGTTTTGACACACTCTTGACTTGTGTCCCCAAGCAACGTTTAATATTCATGGTATGAGTAAAATCTACATGTAATACATCAATCTAATCCAATCTAATGATAGTTAGATCTAATTTTTTTTGGCTGAAATATTGGCTACAAATATTTATTCAGCAATCGTAGTCGCACGTATACTTCTTCAGTTTAATATTACAAGATATTTTTTTAAAAAATATTATATTAAACAAGTACTTCCTCTGGTTTTTGATAATTTATATTAATTAATTTTTTTACCTTATGTTTATTTATTATCATTGAAATTCTTAGACAATAATTTATTATGGTTATTAATTACAAAGAAGGGATTTTGGATATTGTGGGTAAAATTAGAGTGTTATATATTTTTAAATAATTTGCAGATATAATTATTCTTTTTTAACAAGCGTGAAGTTAGTTAAATTTATTTTATATTAAGAGCCAATGGGAGTATAAGATATTTTGGATATTTCAATGTACAATTAATAAGTTTTTTTAAAAATACTCTTAATTAGGGGTATAATTAATAATTTTTTTAATTAGGACATCTTATCAAATAGGGATAAATATGAAAAGAGTTTGTAATTTTAAAAATAATTAATTAATTCACTAGGGAGTATAATTAGATTAAAATTGCCTTATAAAACTAAACAGAGGGAGTTAAAACTCCAATGTGTAATTTGCAAGTAACATTTCTATATTTGTAGCAACTTACATTCGCAATTTATTTTTCAATTAAAGTTTTAAAACTTTAACTATTATTAAATTAATTTTTTTGGAACCAATTTAGGCAACCTCTTAATGCATTAATCACTAAGTAAAAATCCCAAATGGAACCTTGCAAATTTTTCAAATTTATGAATTTAGATTTTGATCAAATTTATTCTTTTTATATGCATAAAAATTTATGAATTTGAATTTAATCCAAATTTAAATAAAATTTATTATTTTTATTTTTTTTCTTAGAATTTTAATTTAAAGCCTTACTCGAATCTAAGTATTTTAAATACTCACTCTAACTTGATTATTTCAAATGCGAACACTAACTTTATGGTTAAATGGGAAGAAAAATAGGAATAAAGAAAAACTAGAAGTGAAAACTGTTAAAAATAGTAAAAAAGAAAGTTAATATTTTTGAAATTTTTTAAATAGTTTTCTCTTTTCTCCCCACTTCATGCCCATCCAAACCAAGCATAACAAAAAAAAAAAAAATTAGAAATATTAGAATTTGATTTTTTTATCCTACGTCAACGAATTTTAAATGTGATTTTTGTTTTGCCAAAATTTTAAATATGTGATTAACACATTCTAAATTAATTCGTACATATATGACAAGGTGAAAGGGGTGTGACTGAGATTAATAAACAGCCAAAGAGAACGCGTCAGTCAAAAGCAAGTAATTGGAAACAACACTACGCCACTTCACTCCTTCCCCTCAGAAACTGCAATCTCAGTTCATTTCCTCCATAAATATCCTCTGTTCTCTTCCTCATCACCTTTCTCTCTCAATTCACTCTCTCTCTCTCTCTCTCTCTCACTATCAAACTGATTCTCACCTCTGCTGGTGTTGGTGGCCTTAACGTGCGGCTGAAGAGGCTACGATGACAGCTGTATGGAATGTGGTGGAGGGGTTGAAGCCGGCGATATTAATGGTGGCGGTTCAGATAGCATTCACGGCCCTGAATGTGATGTACATGCTCGCCGTCGATGACGGAATGAGCCTGAGAGTCGCCGTTGCTTACCGCTTTATCTTCGCTACTGCTTTCATTGCTCCCCTTGCTCTCGTCCTCGAAAGGTTAATTCTTTCCTCTTTATCGGATCATATGTTTGGGCTTGCCGTTTTTCTGTTTTGCATTTAAGTCTGGTCAATGGTTCCATCCATGGAAGGTCATTGCGTTCATGTTATGATTTTTTAAGAAGAAAATGAAGAGAGAGATTGTTGTTTAGGAAGAAAAATGGACAGTAGTAGTGATATTTATTACATTAATTCTTTGTCGTTGATGATTTACAATTAATTCTTTTAGTGATTGTAACACCATTTATTTTAATCCTTTCTTATGCTACTTTTAATCCTTATTATATATAAGACATTTTTAACTATCTTATCAAGATAAATAAGAGATGATTAAGTCATTAGTTTTATCTAAAAATATAATAAACTTTTAATAATTTTACCCATAATCGAATGAAAAAAAATAAATTTATATTATATATAATTAATAAATTTAAATAGGAATAATATTTAGAAAAACATAAGTAACATCCAACCAAGTACTTTATATTAAAGACAAAAAAGTTTTTTTAAAAAAGGCACCCTATAATAGAAATAAGAGGGAGTAATTTTTATAATAACATCGTATTAACATGTATTTTTTTGACATTATTTATAAGTCATTTTTAACATGTTTGATTAAACGAAAAAATTTTTAAAACTCATTGACTTTGTCAAAATATTTAATGAGTTTTAAATTTTGTTTCTATTAAATATACATATTTTAATAACATACTTTATCTTACTAACATTTAATTAGGGTAAAATAAGAAATATATGATAAAAATTTAATGATATGACTTATAAATAAAACAAAAACAAAAACTTCTTTCTCTACCAGATTAATAGGACTAGAGGGAGTATTTGTTTTTTTAGTGAATCATTTATTTTTTATAATTTTTTCATGGTATTCCGAGTAATCTCAGCATTGAAATTGTTGTTTGAATCATTGATAACATATAAGACAATACGACTTTGTATGATTCACATGAATGAATGTTCCATTTGCTTGATAATTAGTACCTTATTTTTATTTAAATATTACTTTTTTCATATTTATATATGAATAATTTTATATATTTTAATTAATTATATTATTTTAATTATAACCTATCTAAATATAATTCAATCATAGACCATTAATCTTTTAATCAATATCTTAACTGATTAATGATTAGTCATATTTTTAACATTTGATGTCTATGTCTTTTGATCACTGTTTGGAGGAATTGATGAAGCAAAACTAATGATAGTACTTAAGACGACAAGAGAAAATGAAAAAGGCCTCAATGTGATATGATAGGTAGAACTATTAATTAAGGCTAGCCCAACCTTAAAGAACCAATCTTGAAAGGATTAGGGTTTAAATAGATTGATTTTAATAAGCTTGATTATATCTCAGGGCTCTCTTTTACAAGGTTCAGCCTTAGCCCTTGGGGTGAAGGGTGACCCTTTATGTTTTTCTTTTTATCAATTTAAAATTCTAAAAATATATATTTATAATTCTAAAAAAAGTAATTACACATAAGATTAAGTTTAAAAAATAAATTTAAATCAACTCATACCCAACAAATATAGAAAACTTGAACATCTAGATCTAATATCAAATAACAAACATTAAAATTAACGCAAATAAAAATTAAAATTGACTAACATTATTAATTAAATCTTAATGAATGAATGAATGAGGGAGGGATAAATGAGTCTAAGCTGTTCATTTCTTTTAATTATATATTTAATATTCTATTTTTTAGATTAAAATTTTTTAAAAAAATAATAAAAGAGCTTAAAAGGACAGTTCTTGACCCTAAAGCCCTTTTATTTTTATGTTTAAAAGGATTAACCCTTTTGAGCTTGAATCACCATTTTTTGCTCCAAAATAGCAGCATAGCTCTAGTTATTTTTAAGCTTAAAAAGACTGCTTGACAAGCTTGATTCTAATTGATAGTTCTAATAATAGATGCATATGAAAAAAAAATTAATAACAACTTTTTGTTTTTTGGTAAAACAAGGAGAAATGCAGAAAGATTAATTAAGAACCTTTTTTTTTTGTTTTAATTAGATTTTTCATGGTGAATTATTTGGGCGCAGGAACAAAAGACCAAAGATGACTTGGACCGTACTCTTTCAGGCATCTCTATGCGGGTTATTTGGGTATGTAAGTAATAAGTTAAATATGAAATGATTTATTTTAAAAAGATGATTTTTAGAATTCTTTTAAATTTATTTTTAATAAATGGGTTCTCTTTAAATAATATTCCATCTATTTTTAAATATAAGCAAAATTTTCAAATGGTTTCTTCTTTTTGTAAGTAAAACAGTACTTTTCAAGAAGCATTTATGACATCTTTCTTTAATTGCCCTTCATTAAATGATAGTATCATTAAATTAGGAAAAAAATGAAGGATTAATCACAATGACATTTTAGTTCAAAATTTTTAATTTTAGACATAATTATTAACATTAACTAATCTTTCTGAACTATATGAGTTATTTAAAATATACTTATATTTTAAAACAGAAGGAGTGATACTTAGCTTAACATAAATGTCTACCAAAAAGTTAGTCATTTCAATGACATGTATTTGTTTTGGTATGCTTCTATGGTCTTATTTATAGGGTAGAGAGAAAAAATTAATTTTAATTTTATTTACAAGACACTTTACTATTTTCTATATTCATCTTTACCTTTATACTATTATTAAATACTTAAAAAAATTATTAAGATTGGTTCTTTTTGTCTTTATTAGGGAATACAAATGAAAATTTATTAAATTTTAAGATAAAGTTTATAAGATTTAAATTTTTTTGTTCCAATAAAATATACTGAAATAACTTATAAATAAGACTACAGAAAGTATATTGTACACAAACATTATTCTAACTAACAACTAATATTTAATTAACTAATTAATTTTGTAATTTTATATCATATAATATAATTGAGAGGAGTAATATAATAAAAAGAATGATAGTTAGGTCTCCACAAAAAAATAAATTAATAACGGTTAAATTTGATTTTTTTAAATGAATTGAAAATATTGATTTAGATAATTATAAATTTAAAAATTTCAAATGTAACTTTCATATATGTTATCTAAAATTTTTGTTTGTAACTGTATAAATTATTATTTACAATTCATGTTTTTTAAATTTTGTTAAAAACTAAATTATCATTATTCAAATCTTTTAAAAATAACTATCATTCTTTATAATGTCGCAAAACTTATACTTGAAAGCGTTGGCTTTAGTGTGATGGGGCAATCATAATACTGATTCTTTTCATTAGTTGCATTTTTTTTTGGCCTCATAACACAATAAAATATTATAACATTCATTAACAGTTGACTAAATTGAACCTAACAAAGTGTATAGACAGTTGTTAATGAACTCTATGATATTTAATTGTGTTGTCGGAAAGTTAAAGGGTTAATAAGCATTTTGGACTCTAAAGTATAGCACAAAAAGTTCTTTGAACCTTAAATTTTTAAAATATGCAAAATGAATTCTAAATTTTTAAACTCATAACAAATTAAATTACACTGTTAACTCATCATTAACACTATTATTATTTATTAAGTGGGCCCCAGTCAAAATGCTAACATGACAATCTATTTTTAATGAGCGCCATAGACTTTGAACTATTGAGTAAGTGGCATTCTAAATCCTGAACTTTAAAATTCAAAGTAAATTACCTTCATTGTTTATGTGTAGAACGTTAACTATTATGTAGACCAAATAAATTAGCCTCAATTTAGTTCGCCGCAGTGAATGCATTGTTAGTTGTGGTGAACGACCCATAATTTTATAAAATGACATTTTTTGTCCCTTTTTTCTTACAATATTTTTCAAATAATTGGTATCTTGTATTTTTATATACTCTATAAATTTGATTTAGTTTTATTTTGAATAATATTTATTTATTTAATGATAAAAATTTGAGATCCCATTTGAAAAGAAGTTTAAGTATTAGATGGTTTTATAGATGATGGATGCAAAAGCTGACAATTTCATCAACGGATTTCAAACCTAAATTAACCAATTAATTAAAGTTTTAAACTTATTTTCAAATGGGATTCTTAGTTTTTACCATTAAATAAATAAACATTATTTAAAATAAAATTAAATCAGAGTTATAGATTATATGAAAACATGAGATACTAATCGTTTGAAAAATATTATAAAAAAAGAGTAAAAAAATGTCATTTGATAAAATTATGGGTCGTTCAACATAACTAACTATGCATTCACAGTGGCGGATTATGTTAAGGCTAGTTTAGTCTATATAATAGTTAGCATTCTATACATAAACGGTGAGAGTAATTTTCTTTGAATTTTAAAATTTAGGGTCTATATACTACTCACGTAATAGTTTAGGGTCTGTAACACTTATTAAAAATGCCACACCAACATTTTAATTGGGCTCCATTTGATGAATAGTAATGGAGTTAATGATGGGGTTTAATTTGTTATAAATCTAAAAATTTAGGATCCATTTTATGTATTTTAAAAGTTTAAGGTTTAGAATGCTTTTCGCACAATATTTTAAGATTCAGAATGTTCATTAGCCCAAAGTTAAATATAATTCTTCCTTTTCGCTTGACATAGGTGTCTGATATTATCTTTAGCAACAAATAATAAATAAAATAAATAAGCCAAAAGAAAAGCTATTTTTTTCATTGACATGTATTTCCCCCAATTCTCACACACACAATGGATTAGATAATAGTGGCAGTAGTAGTGAGAAATAAAAGCAAAAATTAATTGATATTATGATATATAATTATTACGTAGAGGATTAACACAAAACTTTTACTTGGAATCATTGGCCTTGACATCTGCAACATTTGTGACGGCGATGGCCAATCTCACACCAGCCGTCACCTTTATCCTGGCCGTCTTCTTCCGGTGAGTTTCTTTGCAATTTTGTCATATTTTTATTTCTGTACTTTTTCTTTAATATTTCTTTTTTTTTTATCATTTTTTTCTTTAGTTTTCTTACAAATATAATATGCTAAGGTTCAATCACAGTTAACCTTTTAACTTGAAACACATTTCAAATTTAATAAAAAACAACATACTAATAAAGTTGGCATGAGATGAGTGTAATAGAAACTCTTGTCATTTAGTGTTCTGTCAACAACCTATTCCTTGTGCTTTAAAAAAAAAATACTATTGTTTAAAAATATATATTTTGTAAATGCAGATTTTTTTAATATACTTCATTATTTTTTAATTAATGTGGATATATATTTGAACTGTATAGATCAGATTCATATTTTTTTAAAATTATTTTTTACAATTATTTTTAACATTTTGTTGATAAAATTTTTATTATCTAGTTTATATTTCACTTTTTAAAACGAATAATGAAATCTCTGAAAAAATTTAGACAGTCTAAGCTAAAATTTAAAAGTTCTGAATCTGTCAAATAATGTTGTAGAGTGGTGCCATTATTTTTCATGGGCAAAGAAATTGCATTCTCTAAATAATTTCACAAAACAATAATGTTGCTTAAGTGATACTAAAATTTTCAATTTACAAATTATTTTTATATATTCTCTATCTCAATCAGAATTAAATATGAATATACTAAAACTTTCTGAAAAATATTTACACAATAAAATTATTATTTCCCAACAAAAGAGAATATATATTCTTTACTTAAAAATGTTATTGGGTATGTGGGAAAAATCTTCTTAAAAATAAAATTAATATTCTTTTATGAAGGGAAAAGTACACCCTTTTGTTGATCTGTGATTAAATTTGTGAACAGTTTGGAAAGACTGAATTTAAAAACAGCAGCAGGAAAAGCCAAGATGATTGGAACAATTATAGGAATAATTGGGGCTATGATTATAACATTCTTCAAAGGCATAGAAATAACAGGGTTCTTCCACATCACTCTCTTGCATCCCCATAAAAGACACGCGGCATCACCACACTCTTCCTCTGGTAGTAACATCCTCTTGGGTTCTCTTTGTGCTCTGGCAAGCTGCCTTGCCTATGCCTTGTGGCTCATCACTCAGGTCTTTCTTTCATGATGAATACTTCATTTATTTTGTATATAAATCACTCTAATTATTTTAGTAAAAATGAAATAAAGGTAGTTAAATCATTGATGTTGTCTTAAAGGAAAGATATCTCGCAACTTACTCTTATTAAATAGATCATTTTTTTTTTAAATGCATTATCTCATATACAATTTTTTACCCTAACTTACAGGAAATTGTAAAACTAGTAGAGTTAGGAGAAAAGAATTAATAGTCGGTTTTTACATGCAAAGTAATAAACTGGACCATCAACTTTTTTTAATGTGGCTTTGTATATAGGACCGTGAACAATAACATGTTAAAAACCAAATATTTGTTTTACATTTTAATTCTACATTTTTTTTGTTTATTGCAAATTCAACCTTAATTTTGATTATTATATATGAGACACAGACTAAGATGAGTAAAAGTTACCCATGTCATTACTCAAGCACCGCTTTGATGAGTTTCATGGCATCACTCCTTTGTACTGTTGTTGCTCTTTGCCTTGAGAAGGATTGGACTCAATGGAAGTTAGGTTCCAAAGTTAGGCTTCTCACAACAACTTATTCAGTAAGTTTGACGATGAATGGCCATTGTTTATAATTTGCGGAAAAAAATTGTGGTCTTCTTTTCATTTTATATTTCATAACATGAGAAATTTCTGGCAAATCTAATTTTTGCTAATTATATGAATTTTAATAATGAATATATAGGGAATAGTAATTTCTGGAGCAATGGTGGTGGTGTTGACATGGTGTATGCATATGAGAGGCCCTCTTTATGTCTCTGCTTTCAATCCTCTTTTGCTTCTTTTTGTCGTCATTTGTGGCTTTTTCATGTTAAATGAGAAGCTACATCTTGGAAGGTATATATGCTTCTCTTCATGCTTTTAATATGTTTTGAATTTGGAATAATGAAACTTTCTATGCCTCAAATTATCTTAGTTTGTTGATTTGGTCCTTCAAGTTTAATTTTTATTAATTTGATTTATTTCATTTTCTTGAATTATCATGTTAGTCCTTTGAATTTCAAAACACAAATTGACTCTCAAATTAATCTAATGTATAAATTATATTAATAACTTGTCATGAATATGTAACTAAATGAGAATAAATTAGTCTTCAAGTCGATTTATTTTTTATCAAACTAGTCTCTTATGTTGCATTTTATAATTTTATTATTTAAAATTTCTGTGTCTGTTTTTCCTTACCTAAAAGCACACTTCTTAGTATTCAACATGAAGTTTTTGAGTTGGAATTATGAATTTTGCAGTGTAATAGGAGGGGTGTTAATAGTGTGTGGATTATATGTGTTTCTGTGGGGAAAAGACAAAGAGATAAAGAAGATGAATCAGCAACGTGTTTCATCATCAGAAAACCTTCATGAAGAAATCAAAGTCGGATCTCCTGCAGAAGACAAACATAGTCCTCATAACAATAATTGTGAGGTTCAAGTTGTTGTGAGCGATCGAGATCATTCATCACAAAATGCAAGTGAAGCAGTAGTATAAGAAATTTGGATAGTCAGATCAATACAATAAACATACATGGAAGTTAGTGAATATTGTGAAAGAGGGATATATATATATATATATATATATATATATATATAATGTCTGATATAAAATTCTGAGATGGTATATATCTTCTTACAATAAAAAAGGTCAAAGAATATTTTTGCCCTTCAATTATTTATTTATGAGTGTCTAACATTCTAAATGGTACAATTTTTTCATTCAATATTTAAGAATGATGCACTTACAGACATCTTGACATTTAACTTTAATTGTTAATTGACTACTCGTAATTTAACAATCCAAACCAATCCCTTCCTATTACCTTAAAACCATGAGAATTACAAATTAATTGACGAGAAGTCTTCCAATTTTGAACTTGATCGAACCCTAACTTTCTCGTCATCTAAAACCTCAAAACGAAAAGTCCAAAGAGTATAAAATGAGTATAGATCACTTATCCATTAGTTACAAGTCTCAAAATCACTTCAAAACAACCGAAAATCCTTGCCTATGAAAAAAAAAGAAAAAAAAAAATCCTGAGTTTCCTTCGTTTTTCCTTTTCGTCTACCATTTTTCTGATATGCTTGCCCTAGCAAAATGGTTAGTCACTTGGCAGTCAGCTGAAGAGGTTATTCAAAATGTTTATTTTGATCCTTTACATGAGTAATAACTAAAATTAGTCTATTAACATTTATTTATAATTTTTGAAACATAGTTTAATATTACTTTTCTTGTAGAAGACATTTTTTTTTTGTAATTTTTGGAATATTTCATGTATTTTTTCTTTTCAATTAACAGTAAAAAACAAAACTTTAATGGAAGGGTAATAGTGCTTCCTTTTTAATACTTAGCGGGTGATATTGCTGACCTTTCATTTTAGGGAAACTAATACACCTAAAAAAATTCAGAATGGTTCAAGTGTTTCCCGATTCTAAAAGAAGGCTACATACAACTCATTCATGGGACTTTATTATAGCCTTTATATCCTATTTAGTTTATAGGGAATGTATCACCTCATTTCCTACCCAACTAGCAGAAACTCTATCACTTTCTTCTGTAACATTTTAGTTTTAAATGTTATGTTTACAAATTTAAATTAATTGGGAAAGTGACACAAAATATATAATTTTGTATGTAACTCAAATTCTACCTATACTATAATAAAAGTCAATTTTTGAGATTAAAAAACTGTAGCTCAAAATGGGCCAACCTTAGCCCATTTATACCTGCAAGGCTGCGAATGCAAGTCATTATCCTTTCTTAACATGGGCTATGGCCAGTATGGGTAGCACTCGAAGTTGGCCTATCAAGTTTATAAACAATACTTTCCTTTTGATATTTTTAGTTAAATCTTGTATATTAATAAAAGTTAGTTATTTAATTGAAGTAATTTAAAATTATAATGCTTTTCTAGTCTTGCCTCTAATAATGTCACAATTAATATCATGATAGTAGTAGATAGATCACACAATTAATTTTTTTTTTCATTTTCAAGACAAAGGCAAAATGTCTAACTTAAAAATATGATAGCCTTATATTTAGAGACAAAATAGGCATCTACAAATTAAAACAGAAAATGCATAGGGATGGAGAGGGTATACTTTTAAAAATATGGATAATGACCAATAAAAATTGATCCAGTTGATAAGGATTTAGCCTATAACCTACAAAATCATAGGATCAAATCTAGCTACTGATATTAGGATCTTATTGATGAATGATTTGTAAGTACTTCTGTAAGAGCTCTTTGACACTAGATCATGTGCTTTGGCCCTGATGAGCATTGAGACATAGCTCACCTAAATTTTTATTTATAAAAAAAATATGGATAATGATCTTTGCACCTTATCCATATACAATAGATTTAAAAAAATTGATGTTGATACTATTTATAATTCATGAATAAACTATTACAAAATGCTTAAAAATGATGTTTATGAAATGTCATTTATTTAGCCATCATTTATAGTTACACCATTTTATCTATGATGGTTATTTAACCATCAAATATACTAAAAGATTCTAGTTGAATGAAAATCGTCAAATGAAAAGCCTCTAGTTTTGGTCATCTAGTTTGATTTAATTTCTAGATATGTCGGTTATAAGTTATAACTAATAACTATCAGACTTGAGATTAAAGTTGAATTTATCATGTTTTTAATAAGGGAACTGCTTTTGAAGTAGAAACATCAAACTTAACAACGATGTAATAGCATACCAAACATCCAAAATAACATAATTGGAAAACAAAATTATTGATCTCTATAGTTTTAGAATGCTTTGTTATTGACCTCTGTACTTTTTTTATTAACCTAGGTCCCTATAGATTTTTTTTTTTTCATTTGTAATAATGGTCCTCTATTTTTTAATATGCCCAGAGGAATGATGATGATGTAGCACTAACAGTGTTAACTTATCAAGAGTGTAACTAATGTCATTTCATTGCATGTTAAATGAGGTTAGGTTTTTATTTTCTTTGTTTTGACAGACTTTAAATTCATCTTTTTGTCTCTACTTTGGTTTCATATTCATCACAGCAAGACATTATGTTTCATTTTTTGTTCTGATGTGATGCCATTAATTGTTTTTTTTTTGGTTAATGTTGATGTTGAAGTTTGTTTTGTCTTTGTATAGTTGGTCATAATCTTTAGTTTTTTCTAGTTGATCTTCATTACTTAGTAATTTGTGATTGCTCTATCTCTTTCTTTCTTATTTTCAACATAAGATTTAATCCTGTTAGTTACAAGTTAGATGATTTAACATCATTAGTGCTACATCATCATCCCTCTAGGCATATTTAAAAATAGAGGGACTGACATTGCAGATAATAAAAAACTATAAGGATTTAGAGTAACAAAAACAAAGTATAAGAACTATATAATAACAAAATATGATAAAACTATAGAGACTAATAATTGTGTTTTTTCTGACATAATCCAACAACCTTAATTCATTTAAAATACCATCACCAACACAAGCGGAGGTGCTATGGGAAATACTTGGGGTTGAGAATAAGATAGTGAGAGATATGAGCAACGATGAACGTGCAGAAATAGAGTTTAATTAATGGATATTAATTTATATATGAACGAAATGGATATTCAAATTAACATTTATGATTAATTTTGCACTTATATCTTGGAAACTAGTTCTTTTTGAAACTCTCGCTATCCAATTGGCTTGCTGCCTCCACCGTCACGTTGCTTGTATACACAAGTCGAGAGTGTTAAAACATGCATGCATATGTGCTCAGTGGACTTTGTTTAATTTTACTTTTATCCTTTTAGATAGACTTTGGATTGATATATTTGAACTTGAACTTTAAATTTAAAATCTTAAATTTAAAATTCATGTATTTAAAATTATTTATTTAAATACTATAAGCAATTTTAAAAGCAGAAGAGAGATGAGTAGAGATTTAAAGCAGAAATGGAAGGCTGAGAGAGTGAGAAGCTTACCTCTATTTTTTAATATTCACTCAGGGACAAGGACAAAAATGAGAGGAGAGTCAAGAATATTATAAACACCAACAATTGAAACATGATGAAAAAAAAAGTATTAGAGTAGCTGAAATTTTAAATAATTAAAATTTAGAGAGAACTTAAAATTACAAAAAAAAAATTATAATAAGGCAGGATTTTGAATTTTCCATAAACTTATATTTATTCAGATAAGGGGTTTGATTCAAATTCAAATCTAAATATAAATCTCCAAGCATCCAAACATAACTTATATTTTTCTTAAATATTAAAAATATGAATATCAACTTCTAATTTGTTAACAGAAATTTTTTGTAACACTGAAAAAAGAAAGAAATTAAGGAATTACATAGTCGTATATATGTTGGGTGCTCATACAGGATCACGAGGATTGATAACCTCATAAGATTTACTTTCTAATTAAAGCACTGCTTTCAAAAAGTTCTTATACAACAAACATGAAAAGTGGTCATGATTTATGCATAGCTTGCAAGCAAAAGTCCTGATTTTGAGGGAATGAATAAATATAGCTACGCATGCATGTTTTGACACTCTCTTGACTTGTATACACAAGCAACGTTACGGTGGAGGCACCGAGCCAATTGGATAGCGAGAGTTTCAAACCAACTTGTTTCCAAGATATAATTATTATAATATTAATTTAAATATTCACTTTCGTCCATATATAAATTAATATACCCTCTTTACTTTTCTCTCAATTTCTCTTCACGTAGACCGACCATTGCCATTAAACTCTACTGCTGCACCCTCATCTTTCCTTCTCTCTCACCATTTCTTATTCTCAACCCTAAGTCGCTGTAGCTCGTGCTGGTGGTCTTGATGGCGAAGATGATGGTTGTACGGAGTGTGGTGGACAGGTTGAAGCCGGCGATGTTAATGGTGGTGGCTCAGATAGGAGGTGTTGGGCTCAATGTTTTGTACAAGCTCGCCGTGGATGATGGCATGAACTTGAGAGTCCTCATTGCATACCGCTTTATATTTGCCACTGGTTTCATTGCTCCTCTTGCTCTCATTGTGGGGAGGTTGTTTCTTACTATTCTCACATAATATATATCTTAACCATGTACTTTGTTATAGATTTTCCAATATGTTTATGCATGTTATCCGAGTTAGTCTGGAATTATATTGTCGTGTGTTGCTTAATTATTTACTTGATTTCTGGTGAAGCAATTTTATGTGACAATATTCTTCCATTTCTATAATTTATATGCAGGAACAAAAGACCAAAGATGACTTGGACCGTACTCTTTCAGGCATTTCTATGCGGGTTATTTGGGTATGTATCAAAAGGATCATTTTTCTTGGTTAAAAATATAAATGATTTTTAGAATTATCTATAAATTTATTTTTATGGCCAAATAATTCTCTTTAAATTTTACTCATTGGCATCGTGCCAGAGGTGTATGAACCTCAATTCAAACAATGTGAGCCCCAAGATCCTATATGCCTTAATTCTCCTCATTGCCGTCTAAGTACAATTAATGCAAAGGTAAATTAACGTAGGGAGCTATAT